TTGTTTTGATAGTTTATTTAAAGTGTTTATTTAGAATTACCTAAGAAGCTTATTTTGCTAACCTCCTGTTCCCTGCAAAGGGGACTGTCACAAGAATGTGTAGAAATAAAGATCCGAGAGGGAAAAAAAAATATCAGCATCGTTCCTAAAGAGAATGTCTTCCGGCCGGTTCTGTGTGATTCTTTCAGCCTCGAGTGAAAGCCCACCTGGGTTTCTGTCCATGTTTCGATGGTAGCCCTGAGTTATTAGAAAGGTCACAGATGGAAATGTCAGTTCTCCAGTTCCCCTGAGAGTAGAACCCTTTATTGTAGGCACGAACTAGAAAGCATGCACCGACTAGCTTGTCTCCAAGTGGGGACCTGACAGTTGGCACTAAGATGTCACCACAGCCTGGAAGACTGTTGCCAGTAGGAGGAAACAGCTATCCATTCTGCCCAGGATGGAGGAGGGTGCCGAGGTACAGTTATTCGGTGCTAAAACCAGTGTTGTCTTGGGCAGGAGCTGGACTGCTGGTTAACTCAAAACACAGTTTGTAAGGTTACCCGTGGCCATTTCTCAGTATCTTGCCAAAAAATAAAATCAATCTAGTAGCTTAAAACAACGAGGCGGGTGACTGTTGTCGGTCTATAATCTAGTCTTTTATCAACACAAATAAAAACACGAACGGTTGTATTTCTTCTCTCTGGTGGGAGCTAACGGCACCCGTGCGGACATGAGAGCATTCACTGTGTTAGTTACTTTTCTGCTGCTGGGATAAAAACAGTGACTCAAAGCGACCTGGGGAGGAAACGGCTCATTCCCTCAGTCCGTCACTGAGGGAAGCCAAGGCAGCAACTCAAGCAGCCCAGGAAACTGGAGGCAGGAGCTGAAGCAGAGGCTGTGGGAGAAGGTTGCTTCCTGGCTTGCTGTCCATGGCCTGCTCAGCCTGCTTTCTTAGACAGCATTGGACCACCTGCCCGGGGTGGCAACACCCACACCAGTTATTAATCATGGAAATCCCCCACAGGCCTGCCTGCAGATCAGCTCATGGAGGCATTTTCTCAACTGGGATTCCCTCTTCCAGATGAGTCCCCCACCCCCCTGTGCACCAAACTGACAAAAGCGAAAGAAAACAAATAACAAATTAACCAGCACCCTCCACTGTTTCCACTGCTCCTGGGGGCAGGAACTCACGTTTAAAAGGGAGGTTGTTCTCTGTGATTCTAAACTATATCCCAAGAAATCTAGAAAGCATGAAGTAACAGGTCAGACACCATGTGTCTCTGGGTGGCTTCAGCATTCCTACAAGCCAGGAATGCTAACGAATTTGCTTCTGCTAGGTAAGTGCTTGCTTCCTGACTTATAGACAGCTGCCTTAGAGCTGTCTTCACGAAGTAGGGAGAGAGATCGCTTCTCTTGGTCCACTTTATAAGGGCATTGCTCCTCCCTACGAGTGCCCCCAGCCCTGCTGCCACAGTCTATCTCCAGATGTCATTACTGGGGGCTTAAGGCTTCAGACATAAAATTTCAGGGACAAGAAAGCCCATGGCAGCCTCTGTTTTTAAAATGCTTTTCCCACTAGCCATGTTGAAGCACATGACTTCAGCTAGCTAGGACACTCTACGGTGGCCACAAATGATTTTGTACCTTGCTGCCATCCCATGGGCCTGAGTCTGGGAGAAGAGGGATTAGCAAAGATGGTCTGCCTGCTGAGCTGCCATGCTCCTGAGGAAGGCAGGGGCCCTGCTTTTACCCTGTCATGGCTGTTTCCCCTTGGGTTCTTGGAGTGTCACTTGTCACTCTGAACAAACAGACATGACACAAAAGGGCTGTGTTCCAATCCTACTGTGTAACATGAAGGGGCCAGCTTGTTGGGGTATCTGTCCTGTCCAGCACCCCACAGCCAGCAAGCCCCAAAGAAAATCACACACAGGACTCCATAAGATTATAAATTGATTGGCCCATTAGCTCTGGCTTCTTGTTAACTCTTGTAGTTTATATTAACCCATTATTCTGATCTATGTTAGCCATATGACTTGGTACCTTTTTCAGCTGTCAGCTCACATGTTGCTTCTTCGGTGGTCTGGGCAGGAATGGCGGAGGAAGCTTCCTGCTTCCCAGAATTCTCCTGTTCTCATTGCATCACCTCTACTTCCTGTCTGGTTTGCCCACCTATACTTCCTGCCTGGCCAATCAGCATTTATTAAAATATGATTGACAGATTACAGGCAATTCTCCCGCACCACTACTGCCCTCTTAGAAATGGCCTGCAGCCTCACTGGCTTGAGCCATGGTCTGAGAGAAAGGGGAGAAGGGACAATCCTGCCTGGGCCAGCACCCCCCACCCTGTGGGTGTTCTATCTACCTTGTTCCCAGCACTGATTGCTCTACACCCAGGATACGGAGGCTCAGATTTACTGCCTAACTTTGTCACCCTTGCTGAGCTGTGGTGCCCCCTGGGGAGAACGAAGGCCACTGTGAACAGGGCACTGGAGACCGTGCAAGCTCTAGTAGCGGCTGCCTGTCCTGCCGAGGATAACGACCACAGGAGACAAGGAAGAAGAGAATCAGTGTTCTTATCCGAGCCACTCCATGAGGGCCTCAGCACCAACACGCAGCACCCCTGAACCCTAGTCTAGTGTCTCGTCTGTCACCACGGCTAAGCTGACATTTACTAATTGTGTTACTGTGTTTGATTGTCTAGCAAGGCGTTGGGGTACAAGCTCGAGAGGATGGGACCATGTGGGCCGTCTTTACTACTTTAGCCTCACTATTTCACCCAGGTCTAAGAATATATTAGGTGCTCAGAAAAATGTAGCTGAGTTCTCTAACACAGAGGTGCCCCAACATGCCCTTTCAGGCTTCAGGTGACCCTGAGAGTGGTCTTCATTTTATTTGTGGGCCATTCCTTAGGTCAAACTGAGGGTCTTGTATTAGTTACTTTTTCCATTGCTGTGACCAAATACTTGGCAAGAAACAAGAAGGGCTTACTCTGAGGGGATGTAGCTGTCATGGCAGGGCAGGCAGGGCAGGCAGGGCAGGCAGGGCAGGCAGGGCAGGCAGGGCAGTTGGAATATGAGATGGTTGGCCGCACTGCATCCACGGACAGGAAGCAGAGAGTAGACAGGGTGGGGGTGGGGCTAAGAAACCTCAAGACCCACCTCCATGGACCCACTTCCTCTCGGTAGGCATCCCCTCAAGGCCCACCCAAACCTGGGACAAGATGTTCAAACACATGACTTTGTAGGGGACATTTCCCATTCAAGTCACATCTTGTCCCCACCTCCATAAGCCCATGGCCATCTCACAACGCAAAATGGATGCAGTCCAACAAGGAATTCATACTTCCAACATTATTAGCACAAAGTAAGTTTTCCCATAACAAAAGGGAAGAAACGGACCATAACAAGGGAAGATCAGACCAAAGCACCATCAAAACCCAGCAAGGCAAATACCAAACCCTTCAGCTCTTTGCACCTGAGGCTCACGATGGAACCATCCGGGCTCTTCAGAGCCTGGGCGTGCCTGTCCCTACAGTTCTGCAGTCTGAAGCACTCATAGCTCGCAGGACAGTATGGCTCTGCTACAGATTCCTTCAGTGGGCATCACACGTGTGGTCCTGGCGTCTCCAACATCTTGAGGTCTCTGTTACAACTTAGGCCTCATTGTCACAGCTTCACACAGTGGCCTCAGCGCCTTGCAGAACCTTGCCACAAACTTCCATGACTCCCTCACTCACATTCTGCATCTTTAAAACCATCACCATGTGGATAAAGCCGTCATGTTCTGCTGCCGCCTTGAGACGTAGTATGGCCCCTTGGACCACAGTTGCCCAGGCTTCTGTTCCCAGGTATTAATTTCCAAGAAGGGACCTCTGATTTCTCTACTGAGGCTTACTTACCTTTTTTCAAATACATTTCCATTTTCCAGAACTGGAACCCTTATTGGGTGGGGTTCTGCTCTCAGGACAGTTTGCCTTTGTCCCAGTGCAAAGCTCTAGACTTCTCCTTAAAGGGGCAGCTAATCCCTTTAACAACCAAGCTGCTTTTGTACCTACCTTATCTCCAGCTTAAATTAATGCCTTTCCCCACTAAATGCCACATCTTCCAAGTATTCTGCTCCACGTGTTCTCTCTGGATAAGGGCGGTGAGCAGTAACTACATCACACCCGAATTCTCTCCTACCTAAGGGTTTCCTCCGCCAGACACATTTGTCCATTACCTTTAAATGTAGGCTCATGTGAGCTCTTGGAACACGGGCCGAATGCAGTCAGTCTTTGTTATAATGCGGAACAAATGGCCTTTTGTCCAGGTCCTTCTAGAGCCCTTATTGTCCTCTATTGTTGGGATTTGTCCTAGCATTCTGGTCTTCTGGAATCCCACCAGGATGGCCCATTAAGATCTGCGTTCAGCATGCCACGGGCTCTCTTGCCATTATTTCTAAACTTTCCATATTCTTCCTGCAAACCAATTCCAAACACCCAAGAACCACAGTCAAGCCTTCCATGGCAGTGGAGCCACTCCAAATGCCCATCTTCCACGTCATTTTCCTCATTGTTACGATCAAACAACCAACAAGAAGCAAAAGGGTTTATTTTGGCCTTTAGATGGAAGGGATGTATGTGCGTGCACATGTGTGTGTGTTCACGTGCATGAATGCTTCTCGTGTGTGTGTGTGTGTGTGCATGTACCATAATACATAATAATATATTACATACATGAATACCTACACACTATGGTGGGGAAGGCAGGTGGCGGAAGCACAAGCAGAGTCACAGAGCCTGCATTCAGGAAGCAGAGAGTATACAGATAGTAGGACTCAGGCTAAGAAACCTCAAGGCCGATCTCCAATGACCCACTTCATCCAATTAAACCCCTGCTCAAGAGCAGTGGGGGCCAAACGTTCAAACACAAGTCTATGAGGGGCTGTTCACCTTCAAACCATAACTGGCTTCATGGAGCCCAGGCAAGCACTCTGGCATAGAGCCACATCGCCAATTCCAGTCTTCATTTTAAACACGCAAATTGGCAATAGCACAAGTTTCTCTTTATTGGCATTTTCTTCTCAGTCCCTATTACTTTCCTCTAAGGAAGGCTTTGTGCAGTCTTGCTACCCCCAGAGGCGGCTCTGGACTGCGCAGGGGCTCTACCTGCAATCAGGGGCAGTCTCTTTCCTGCAAGGAAGCTCCAACTTCGGAAGAGTCTTTCCGACATGGTAGAGATGACGGGGGTCATTCTCCTTGGTGAGAGAAATTATCAAAGTGACAAAAAAAAAATAACCAAAGCAAAAGGTCATCCTGAAGGGCGTCCACACTTGAGAGATGGAAGCCAAGGGTATTGCTGTTGCAAACAGCCTTAAAAACCTGCAGCGACTGCTAAATTTCACCTTCTAGTTGGACACAGAGTTGTTCAGCATGCAAATCTTTCTCGGAGCTTTCTTTGGGGCATATGGGGGGCTCAGTCTGCCACACTGTGCTTGGCCTTGCCTGGCACGGTGTACTGAGGGACGCTGGTGCAGAATGCTGCCTTGGCTTTTGGAGATTGCTTCGGCTTCAGGGCAGCCTCAGAGATCCTGCGGACAGAAAGAAGACAGGTGAGTCTGGCCCCTTAGGGCACCGCGGTTCCCGCCAGCCTCCACTGCTGTGCAGAAGCCTCAGGAGGGGATCCAGGTGAGGCAGCATCATGGCAGGAGCAGCAGCACAGGTGTGTTTCTCCTCTTTTAATGCCTTGCGGTCATCTTCCCTGAGCTGAGGCCGTCAGGTCTGAGGTAGGCCAGTGAGAGGGGCGAGACGGGGGAAGACTGTCAAGTTCTGGTGGGAGGCTTGTTGGTTCATGCAGGCCATCCTCGAGGGGGATGGTACCCTTTCTGGCTGGTACCACTTCTGTCATTTCCTGATGGGGACCTGACCCTCAGCCCAGAGGCCTTCAGGGAATACGTGCAATGGAGGCTCTCCCAGGTAGTGCCAGGCTTCTCTCTTTGCTGAGAAAAGACACAGGGCCAATCTTCAAGCCACAGTCCTGATATCACCCCCACCCCCCCGCCCGCCCCATCAGGAGCTGAGGTCAGCCCAAGGAAGAACTCTGGAGGCAAGGCACGTAAACCTGCAGGGGCCGGTCTATGTGAGGAAGCCAGAGTGTGTTTCAACATTCTTAAAGAATGAATTCCTTTCTAATATTAGGGCAAGGAATATGTTTTATAGCTGGCTTCTCAGAGGACCTATTCTTACATTTAACTATATAAGCTGTGGAAAGCCAATGGAATGCCCACAGAACCTTCTAGTGGCAACCTCGGGTTCTGATTAGTGAAGAGATGTGATACTCAGAGCAAATGCAAGGGAAGCTGACTCACTTGGACAGTGTGTCTATGGTCTGCTGCGTGGCCAGGGTCCTCTTGTCCTGCGATCCATACAAGAACGTCTCAATCTGAACACACTGCGGAACACCAAGGAGTCCTCGTGAGGTTATGGAAATGTCACAGGGAAATAAAGTCTCCTTTGAACTAGAGAAAGAATGCTTCATTCTTAGACCCGTGCTGTGATGGAGTCAGTGCCCTCTGGGGGCTTTGCTGGGGACAGCCTGACCTTTCAATTGGACGTTCTTAGGGATCCAGAACACGGATGTACAGTGTGAGCGCTACTTCAGAACCCTCTGTGTGCATGCATGCATTTAAAGGTAGCGTTTTTAAGAAGCAAGGCAAGCACGTTGGCTGACTTTTGCTTCATTTCCTTCTTTTGCTCAAGTTTTGGCATGTTATTGTTTATGCCCAGTCAGGACAAAGTTGAGCAAGGGGAAAAGAATAAAGAAATTCTAAAAACGGTCGAAGTCAGTCTGAAGAATGAGGTGGAGGAGTTTGCTTTGATGACTTTCTGTAAAACTACAGGGATGAAGGAAGTACATCTTTCATCCGGGGTGTCAAGTAGATGAGTGGGAAAGGCAGGGGCCTCAGTGCTCTGTAGCTAATGGACTGTCCCTGTATGGCCAGTGATGGAGAAGAGGGTTACTCAACAGATGGCATCAAGACCACAGTTTTGCAAATGAAAGAAGATGGAATCCAGCTCCCACAAAATAGAAAAACCAAGCCTGAAACATTTAAGGAGTTAAATGTGCAGTGCGGAGCTTGGAGGTTCCCTAGGAAAACCCTGTGAAACAGCCTTCGTGGCTGAGGTAGGAAGCTATTTCCTGAGACAAGTTGCCCACAACAGACTACTGAAGAGATGTGACCGGCTGTATGAACACGACCAACAGCTTTGAAGCCAAGTTCAACCATCAGCAAAGAACAAGGAATGAGGGGGTGGCAGGTATCTGCAGTGCATCTTCCTAAGGGCTGGATAGCACTCAGAACACAAGCAGAATGCCCTAAGAGGTAACGAGGAACCATGGCAACAACCTCCTGGCAGAAGAGGGATCAAAAGGTAGAGTTATTCTGAGCTGGAAGGAAACTGGCCAATAAGCAGGCTCCGACTCACTAAAAACTGGAAATGCAAACAAAATTAAAGAGTGCACTTTGTAAAAAATGGAAAAATTATGCTCCAATGCTGTCAAGATGATGCCAAAGAGGGAATAACAAGAGCTGTTATAAGGTTTGGTACGTTGATAATGGGTATTTAAGTCGGTATAAGCCTCTGTACACACTTTAGCAATATTTAATAAAGTTTAAGTAAAAGTTAAATAAAGAGCGATATGCCTGTTTGTTTTCTAATGAGAGACAGAAAAGGAGTGATCTGGATGGGAGAGAAGGTGGGGAGGAACTGGGAGGAGTGGAGGAAGGGAAAACTATAACCAGGATGTATTATGTGAGGAAAAAAAATCTATTTTCAATAAAAAGAAAGAAAAAATAAAATGCAATAATATTTCTATATACACAGTAAAAAGAAGTATATGCTAAAGTAGAACAACAAATTATAATTTTAAAAAGTACAAAAAAAAAAAAGAATGAGAAAGAAGTGCACGACCAGAGGGAGTTTTATGTGAAGCTTGAAGCACGAAAAACCAACCATAAGCATGGGAACAATGTCAGCTCCAAGTTACCTGGGGACTGGGAAGTCGAGGGAACTTCATCTGTGGTGCCCTTCACTCCTTACTCTGAATCAAGAGTTCATAGGCGTTTGTTCTACATCACAAACACTTTTCCTGCACATCTGAACTATTTCTCAATACCTTTTAAAGACTGAAGTTGTCTCCCTGGTTAAACTGCTTGAATCAGAAAGAAACGAGTGTGGACTCAGGAGACATTCATCCACCCATATCTGGGGACCATTTGTAGATCTTTAAGAAAGTGAAGATGCACACAGCCCAGGTGCTTTGTCTTTGGAAGCTGCGGAAGATGTCAGGGATGCCCGAGTATGTGTTTCGATGTGGGGACTAAGAATGTGATTCTGTTCTTGTGGAGGATAGAAATAATAGACATGAATATGATAGAATTTTATTTTTTAAATAACAAAAACAATTCCCTGTTTCTTGACTGAATTAACTACATGAAGAAGTAGTAGGCTCTTTCTCCTATTTCATTTAGTTCCTATCAAATTCTGCTAATGCAAGAATCTCAGCCTTCCATGCAACAGGTCCTGGCCTTTCTAAACCTGCACAGGTGCCTCAGCCTGGCCTTGGCAATTGGTTTCTCATTCCAGGGACTTTTCCAGGGTCACTTTAACCCACAGATGCATCACATGACCTTAAGACCTCAGGAACCTTGAACAGTCATTGTTTTGAGTGGAGTTATAGCACATGCTTTTCACAGATGTGAGAATTTGGTGATAACTCTTCCAGTCCTCAGCGTGAGAGGCAACACATGGACCCTTGCTTACTGCCCACAGGAGGGCAGAGAGGGGAGTCGCTGAGAGACAGACAGGGGGTGCAAGGGGCAACCATGCGTCCCCTCCCCCGTCTCACTCTCCCTTGCAGAACCCACTTTCTCTCTCCTTCATGAGCAGGAAGACCTGTGCTGGGTTTAAGAGAGTAGGTCTGATTTTAAGGGCACCAGACACATCATTTACATATGCATGAGTGTTCCAATGCAGCTCTTTTGACCCCGGCTGAAGCCAGCACTGTAGCATAAGGATTTTACTGACAATGTAATAAGTCTTTGTGACAGCCTGATGGGGTCTCAGCTCACTCTGCCGAACAGGTGGCTTCTAGAAGCTCTACAACACGGGCGGGATTTCCATCCTACCTCTTTGGTGATTGAAGGGTCTTCTCCCTGGCCCCTAATTCCCTAGGGAAGAGACAATCGGGTCAATAGTCACAAATTCCCAGGAGGAATGAGAGGTAAGTGGTAAGATTCAGGCAAATTCCCCCAGGCTCTACTACAGGAGGGGTCCCTTCCTTCTAGACCCGCTGTTCAGACCATGCTCTCTGGCAGCATTAGAAGAGGGGAGAACAGAGTTAGGACAGGGGGTGAGTTTAGGACTCTGCTCAACAAACAAGTCCTAGAGCTCCCTCCCCAAAAAGCTTCTCTTATTGGCAGAAATAGATGCCCCAACCCAGGGCTATTGTCCCCACAAAAGACATTTGCTTACAATTCCAGCCCAGGAGACGTAAATGCCAAATAGGAGCCAGGAGCCACCACCTTAGCCCCGACCTAATCTTACTGATGATTCTGGCACCTAAAGAGGCAGGGCAGAAACCTGGGAAATAAAAGCTTGTCCATCTACTTCAACTGATATTTTTCTATTTTTAACATCCCAGATTAGCGGTAAAATCCCTCAGTAGGGAGGATGACCTTGAAGTTCTGATGATCCATCTTGGGCTGGTAGAGTACTTGCCTACTGTGTATCAAGCCCTGGGTTTAATCCCCAGCACCGTATTAACTGAGAGAAGAAGTACGTGTCTCTAATCCCAATACTACAGGGGAATTAGAAATCAAGGTCATCCTTGACTACATACGAAGGTTAAGGCCATACGAAAAAAATTAAGTAAAACACTACTATAATATATTAGGTAAATAAAAACAAAACACAATAACCCAATGCATTGAAAACGAAATAAAAGCTCTAATATAAGAGTAGAAACTTTCTATTTCTTTAAAATGAACCCAATACTTTATTTTACATATAACAATATGATTTGTATACTAAATAACACCATAATAGAATGATTTGAAATAGTTTTAAGTAGAATAAAATGGGAAAATTTCCAGGTTTTCTTTATACTGTTTTCTATTGTCCAAGTTTCTCCCAATTGTAACCTTTTTCAATATTAAATCAACTTTTAAATTATATGTCCTAATAGCATAGTGATATTTCATATTTACTAATGTCAGCTAGTGAAAGCTATCCTTAAAAAAAAAGACTTCTGAAAACATCTTTATAAAAGTAAACTTAGCTCCTAAGAAAAGTAAGACTTCACACGAGATCTATAATCCCCCTTCCCCCACCCCTCACCTTTACCCCAGGCTGACTTCGAACTGGCTGTGTAGCAAAGGATGACCTTGAACTTCTGATCCTCACACCTCCTGAGTGCTGAGATGCAGGGTGGGTGCCCCATGCCCAGTTTACAGGGTGCTGGGAATGCTAGGCAAGTGCTCTGCCAGCTGAGCCACAGGCTCACTGATATTCTGAGAAAGGCTTTTTAGGAAGTTTAAAAACAATGACTCCATAAAAATACAGCGGTGATAGCTGAGGGTGAAGCCCATTGGGGTTACACTCAGGGCGCTGTGCACCAAAAGACCGTTTTAAGAGAACGGGAAAACCTATTCCAGCTTCTTCTAGAAGCTGTGTAATAGCTGTCTATTTATCTCAGGAATACAAATTGAATTTTTTAATGTTCTGCTTCACTTAGCTGAATTTGCTTAAACATTTGTGTGTGTGTATGTGTGTGTGTGTGTGTGTGTGTGAGAGAGAGAGAGAAATCAGTGCGATGTTTTGATTCTTTTGTTAAAAACAGAGACTATGATAGAGTCAAAGTCAATAAATGTTAATTGAAGCACTGGAGACATCTGGCTGAGCTACGGAAAGAGCCTTCAAGCCTTAGTATAGAACATTCTCCACCAGAATAAAGAGGGATCCTGTGCTCTGTTGTAACAGAAACCAATGTAGTCATCTTTAAACTAGCCACAAATGGCATTTCTCAAGTTTTTAAAGTAAAGGACACAGTGGGATTTTAGTGGAATATTGTGTTGCTATTATTCTCTATTTTTATATACACGGATTGCGAGAGTCACAACCAGGCCTGTTTCTAGTCTTTCTTAAATACCAGACAGAAAGCTTTCTTCCCTGATTCCAAGATTTGCAGAGGACACCTGCTTTTTCCCTTACTGCAGCAGTCCCCAAAGGGGCCGAGCCTGCCTTGTTCACATAGAGCAATCACCGTCTCTGGCATGTGGAGGTCAAAGGTCAATGTTGGGTCTCTTCCTCAATTGCTGTCCACTTACTTTCTGAGACAGGTGTGAACCTGGAGCTCACAAACTGTCTAGAATTGCTGGGCAGAGAGTCCCGAGGAGCTTTAGGGTTTCTGCTGCTGTGATAAACACTGACTAAACGTGACTTGGGGAGAGAAGGGTTTATTTCACTTCACAGTGCGCACTGTCCAGGGAAGTCAGGGCAGGACGCTGGAAGCAGGAGCTGGGGCAGAGACCCGGAGGGGTGCTGCTTACTGGCTTGCTCACCATGACTTGCTCAGCCTGCTTTCTTACAGCACCTAGAACCACCAGCTTAGTGGTGGCACCACCCACAGCGAGCTGGGCCCTCTCCCATCAATGATCAATCAAGAAACACACCGCAGGCTTGTTCATGGGCCGATTTAGTTGGGGCATTTTCTCAACCGATGCTCTGTCTTCCCAAATGACTCTACGTCGTGTCAAGCTGACAGGAGACTAGCCAGCACGCTCTGGAACTGGGACCATAGGTCTAATTCACCTGTAATTTTACATGGGTGCTGGGATCTGACATAGGTCCTCATGCTGGGCAGAAAGAACTTTACTGGTCAAGTCAGCTTCCCAGTCTGGGCCCAATCACTGTACTCTACACACATTATCTGATGTGAGATTATTACTTCTGTAGCGGATAAACAACTCAGAAACTCAGGAACCGGGCCTCTGTTTCCACGTCAACACTCAAGTCTAATATATTAAGAGAAAAAAAGATTCTAGAAACCTTAATGTGCACAGGTGTGAAGTGTCCTAAATGCTTAAAGATATAGTGACATTTGCACCTTTAGTAATGGCTGCCAGGCAGGGAGAAAGACTGACTTGGGGGGCTGAAAGCATCAGCTGGAATAGCTCAGCAGCCAGCACCATGGGGATGGGGTCAGGCAAGGGCCCTGGCTTTCCTGAGTCAGTTAGAAACCAGCTCTGTCCTGCCTGAGCCCACAACTTCCTCCACACCCGATCCTTCCTGCAGTCACTGTTTGCAGTACAGCGACCCTGTGCCCGCCTAGTGGTAGGGCAGGTGTGAGTCATGTCCTTAGGAGCTTCCAGAGATACAGGGAGACAGAACAGTAACAAATAGGGGTGCAACAGTATTGTCCAGCAGATAGGAGCACTTCCTACTCTCGCAGAGACAAGGACTCGGGTTCGGTTCCCAGCACTGACATGGCAGCTCACAATCATCTGTAACTGCAGTTCCAGAGGATACCACACTCTCTTCTGGCCTCTGTGAGCACCAGGCATGCACATGAGGAACATGCATACATGCAGACAAAGTACATATAGAAAATAAAGCTATTTAAAAATACATGTCATAATAATTTTCAATAAGAACTGAAGGAAGGCTAGACAGTGGTAATCCCAGCACATGGGAGGCAGAGTCAGGTGGATCTCTGTGAGTTCGAGGCCAGCCTGGTCTACAAAGTGAGTTCTAGGAGAGCCATGGCTACACAGAGAAACCCTGTCTCAAGATCTCCTGAGTAAATTGGGAGCATGGGGACCTTGGGGGAGTGAAGGGAGGAGGGGAGAGGCAGGGAGGAGAGCAGAGAAAAATTTAGAGCTCAATAAAAATCAAAAAAAAAAAACCCTGTCTCAAAAAAAAAAAAGCCACACAGCAAAACAAAACAAAGAGAACTAAAAAAAAGGAGGAGGAGGAGAGGGAGAAGGAAAAGGAGGAGGAATGGCAGTCAAAGCAGCAGCAAGATGGGGCCAAGAGGAAGAGCGAAAGGGTATGGTGGAGTTGAGGACACATGAACAGGGAAAGTCTTTGTGTGGAGGTGACAGTGGACTCAAGGATCGCAAGGATCGCGGAGACAGCCCGGGGCAGGCCATGAGGAAGCCGTCAGGGTGAGGTCTCAGCGAGAAGGATACCAGGTGTCTACGGAAGCACACCCTACACTCCCTGGTCTGTCTCGCTCTCCTGCACACCTGCAGTTCCCATCCCACAAAGGCAAATAGGCCCACGGCCTGAGGAAGACACACGGATGGATGGGTAGGGAGCCTCCAGTGAGAAACACACAGGGAAGGCGAGAAGAGGGACCCTGAGCTGCAGAGAGAAATGGGATTGGAGGGAGGGTGTAAGTCATTCCTGAGTGTTTCCTGGTGCTAGGCACGGGTATGGATGCCATCCGTGTCATCTCCTCTCCTCACCTCCAGGCTGTCGATTGCTGTGGGTTCTATGTCTTTAGCGACATCCCTTGACACCCCCATGGTTTTGCCCCATCCCCTGGCCACTGTCTTGGAGCAAGCTACCATCATCTTTGTCCAGGACAACTGCAACACAGACATTTAGAAAACAAGGGCATCCAAAGGACTCGCTGTCCAGGAAGACCCGGCTGCACACCCCTGCACACAGCAGGGCTTCAGTTCTAATGTGGACAGCCAGGCCCTGGACACCATGGAGTCTGTGCGCTGCCTTCTCTCTTGCCGATACGGAGCTCAGCAATTGTGGGGGCTCCTTCTGAACCATGTGCTGTTGGCATCTGCCATCCCTAGTTATTGCCCTTTCAGTCCATTTAAGATCACACTCAATTTGCACAGTTGGGGATTTGGCCTTTTCCTCTGTGTCTGTCCATCACCTATAAAGCTGGATGCCAATGGAGGAACTAAGGCATTAGACCCCTGCTAAACTGCAGTGGGAGTTCTATCATATGGGAAAGGAACGCAGGCCGGTAATGGGCAGTCTGGATCCAGTGTGTTCTGTTTTCTAGAGACAACAAACATGGAGGCTGGGCTGCCAGGGGTTTGAAGCAGTGGTTTCCTGCAGACCTGAATTCTCATTTCTTTGAGTCCCCCACAGGCAAGGGAGACTCCACGTTTTGCCCACAGCAAGTTAAGAATGAATGATCTTGACTTCTCAGAATATCAGTTCTCATTTTTCTACCAGGCGTCTTCAAAGAACTAGTACTTAAAGGCTCTTTCAGCATCCCTTCTCCCCTGGGGAGAGGAGCTCAAGGAAAATCAACACAATTATGACTTCCCTCTCCCTTTAAAAAAAGTGTGTGTGTGTGTCTGTGTCTGTGTCTGTGTGTGTGTAGGTGTGGTGTGCAGGTGTGGTGCACATGCTCACATATGTGACTGCAGGTATGTATGTGTCATGGTAGTTGTGCATAGGCTAGAGACAACCGGAGGAGCTGGTCCTCATCTTCCACGTTTTTGAGGGAGAATCTCTTGCCCACTGCTGCACAGTCGAGGCTAGCCAGCCCAGGAGCCTCCAGAGCTTTCCTGGCCATGAGTCCCGATTCTTCCTAGGACAACTGGAACTATGCACTACCATGCTCAGACTTACATTAGTCCTGGAGATTCGAACTCCTATCCTCCTGCCTTGGTGGCGAGCATTTTACCCCTGAGCTATCTTCCCAGCTCAGACCTTCCTCTCTTAAAGAAAGTACACAGCTACATCCCAATGATGACTCAGGGAGACAGTGAGGAAAGCCAGGGGCACAGGGAAACAGGATTACACATGAAAATGAGGTTTCTCATGTGGAGGCCCCTTAGGGACTCTAAATCTGGCTCTGCGTTTCCTGGCATATCCAAGGGCAACAACAACAACAACATTTCAAATAGGAAAAGTAAATTTTGTGGACGACGAACACGGGCAGATCTGTGCAACGGGCGTCCTCGAGCTGCCCCTAAAACACTACATGTAGGAGGGTCTGAGTGTCTGGCTGGCTGCAGGAAGCCCAGGGACGGCGTGGCTTGCTCTCCATGTTGATGCAGGACCATGGGAGACCCTGTTGGTAGTGATTCTCCTGTCTATATTCTACAAAACACACCATGCTCCAGCTTGTTCTTAAAGATTCATTTTAGTGGTTTGGGGACTGTTATTAGCATACAGGAATGCTGAAAGCCGAGAGAGCTATGAAACATGAATAAGCTGAGCCCTGCCAAGGACAGTCCTTGATAGGAAGGCCAGATTAAGGCCGGGCTCCAAGTGAACTTCATACTGTGCTTGGGCCTGGTCTATTCCCAAGACATTACTATCCTGGGAAAGGGCCCTCTCTTTCTGCAGTCTCCTGCAGGAGGATGTGAGCAATGGTACCATCCTAGATCAAAATAGGTCTCTATGTTGCCAAAGGGAGTGAGCGTGTGCTGTGGAAATTTCTATCTGGAGCCCACAGAGTTCTCCAATATCCCCCTGCAGGCAGTAGCCTTTAAAAGACGGTCAATAATTCGGTTTCCTTTCTGCTAATTCAATTCCTTATCTGCTGTGCTTCTGGGGCCTTCTTGTTTAGCCTGGCCTTGAGCTCACACCTGGGCCATTGAGCACAGGAGGGGGACATCTGGAAAAGTCACACCTGGTGGAGCCTGGCTTCTGAGATGAAAACTCAGTGGGGAGACTGTTGTGACAAAAACAAGACAAACACTTAGCTAATCGCTTTTAGGAGGCTGCTGGCTTCCCAAAGCCCTGTACTAAACATGGCCTTTGGGAAGCTCCAGGCAGCAGACGACAAAGGCATGTTTAAAGTCCCCGCCCGTGGCTTGGCATCAACAGGGCAGACAGTCCTGTCCTCAGTCGAGAGCAGGTGGGGAATGAGAACCGCCCCTACCATAGCAGAGCAGGCACAGCGTTCACACACCCTGCTGATCCTGGCGGCCGGCTGGAGGGCTTTAGAGCATCAGAGCCACTGATACCAGGACCGGTGGTTAATGAGTCCAAAGCAAAGTCACCTCCCACTGTGGGTTTTGGGGTGAGGTGACCTGGAATGTTTTTGAAGCTGAGCCCATTATCAGCCCTCTGGAGTGCTGCAGTGTCAGCCAGAGCAGGATCTGCAGTCTCCTGGGAAAGCTGACAGACAGATTTCCAGATCCTGGTCCCACTCCAGAGACAATGGGACAGTGACAATGCTGCAAGAACACTGAGCTCCGCACCTGCCAATCACTGGGACAAAGAACGAGCTGAGCTTTGCTGAAGAGCAGTGTGTTCGGACACAGCTGACTTACATCCGGGCGCCCAGGCCCTCCCCTGCAGACAGTGTAGTCTGCAAGGCTTAGAAAGATGAGAAATGATATCTCACCCGTACCTGCCACATCAAACTGTCCCAAACCTGTGGTGGGAGGACTACTAAAAACTAAATATGAGATTATTTTAAACTTTATACAAATAAATAAAAGTGTAAAAGTGAAAGTTAATAACTTAGAAAATATTATATATAAAAATGATTCAATTACCAATAGAAAGCCTTAATTGCCCACTTTTTGCAGAATGAAAAGAGAAAAATTTACAGGAATTTTTCCACATCAAAAGTACCAACCCCAAGGGTCTCCAGAATATAAAAAATTTCAAACACCATGCATTTTCGTATATAAAAAATTGAAGTGAATTTCATAGTTATTTCTCTGAAGCAAATACAACATTGATTCTTAAATATAATATACAAATACCAGTGTAAAGACTCTAAAATAAATATTAGCCAGCAAATTCAACATCTGTTATGGCTTGAGAATTTTCCTTGAGAAGCATGCATTGGGAATTATATAATTCCCAGCACAATATGGCTGGGAGTGAGTCTCAGTAAGGGTCTACCTTCAGGAGTGGGTTGGTGCTGTTATCTTGAAAAGGCTGAATTCAGTCTCCCTCATTTTTCTTTTCCCTTCCTCTCTTGCCTTTCTGATTTTCTTTTGTCTTTGAATGAACAAAACAGAAAGGCCACTATCGATGTAAGCTGCTTAACTTTCCACTCCCTAGTCTCTCTTCATTAACTTCTCAGCCCCTGACGTTCTATTATGATAGTACAAGATAGACTCAGATAACACCATTTTAGAAAAATAATCCAAATGACCGAGGGAGAAGATTTATCTCAGGAATGCAAGGGTGGTTCAACATCACAAAAGCATACACCAGATAAACTGAGTCTGAAGGGATCCACATGATCATCCCTGCTAATGCTGAAAAAAAAACTGATAAAAATTGATGTTTATTTCTAATTGTAAAAAGACTCATGAAACCAGAAATCTTAGCATGATGTAAGCACATGCTATGTCCTCGATTATCTATTACTGTGCATGGGAGCCAAAGCAACCAGATAAGGACATTAGTGAGAAGCATGGGATTAGAAAGCACAAAGTAAAACCATGTCTATTTGCAGACGGTATAATAGTATATCTAAAAAATTTGAGAGAATCAGTGTTCAATTTAAACCAATCAATAGGAAACTAAGCTAGGGCTAGAAAGGTTATAAAATTAAAGCACAAATCCCAGTAATCCTTAGATACACAAACTATATAATAATGAATAAATCTCCACTTACATTAGTAACAACAAAATGCACAGAAATATACTTAAAAACACGCGTTACTTAGAGATGGAGCACTTTTCAATGTGCATGAGAGACACACCGCAGAGCAAACGGAATGGCAGCCCTTGTTCCTGGGCAAGGCTCAACATCGTAAGCATGTCAGTTTTCCCAAAACGTATTTATAAATACTTTAGTAAAGCAAATTCTTTGTGGGAGATCGATCTATCTATCTATCTATCTATCTATCTATCTATCTATCTATCTATCTA